AATGGTTAAAACCTAAGCAGGCTGGGTGCCATGATGGCACATATCTGTAGTTACAGCTACTCAGGAGGCCAAGGCAGGAAGACTGCTTGAACCCAAGAGTCTGAGATTAGCCTGGCCAGTATGGCAAGACCCCATCTCAAAAACAAAATTTTAAAAATTGGCCAAGTTATTATTTTTTTTGAGACAGAGTGGGTAGTGTGCAATGGCATCATAGCTCACAGCAACCTCCAACTCCTGGGCTCAAGCGACCCTTTTGCTTCAGTTTTTCTGTATTTAGTAGAGACAGGGGTCTCCCTCTCGCTCAGACTGGTCTCAAATTCATGAGCTCAAGCAATCCACCTGCCTCAGCCTCCCAGAGTGTTAGAATTATAGGCATGAGCCATGGTGCTAGGCCAAATTAGCCAAGTTTAAGGCCAGGTCAGGTGGCTCATGCCTATAATCCTAGCACTCTGGGAGGCTGAGGTGGGTGGATTGCCTGAGCTCACAGGTTTGAGACCAACCTGAGCAAGAGTGAGACCCAGTCTCTAAAAAACTCGCTGAGTGTTGTGGTGGGCACTTGTTCCAGCTACTTGGGAGGCTGAGGGAAGAGAATGGTTTGAGCCCAGGAGTTTGAGTTTACTGTGATCTATGATGCCAAGGCACTCTACCGGGATGACAAAGTGAGTCTCTGTCTAAAAAAAAAAAAAAAAAACGCTCGGCGCCCGTAGTACAATGGTTACAGCACCAGCCACATACATGGAAGCTGGTGGGTTTGAAACCAGCCCAGGTCAGCTGAACGACAATGACACTGCAACAAAAAATAAGCAGGCATCATGGTAGGTGCCTGTAGTCCTAGCTACTTGAGAGGCTGAGGCAAGAGAATTGCTTGTGCCCAAGAGTTTGAGGTTGCTGTGAGCTGTGACACCATGGCACTCTACCCAGAGCATCAGCTTGAGACTCTGTCTCAAAAAAAAAAATGTTAGCCAGGTTTGGTTGCTTATACCTATACTTATACTTATTCCAGCATTTGGGGAGATTGAGGTGGGAGATCACTTGAGGCCAGGAGGTGGAGACCAGCCTGGGCAACATAGCAAGACCCTGTCTATATAAAAAAATAGAAAAATTAGCCAGGTGGAATTGTGTCAGTAGTCTCAGCTACTTGGAAGGCTGAGGCAGGCAGATCAATTAAGCCCAGGAGTTTAAGGCTACAGTGAGCTGTTTTTACATTACAGCACTCCAGCCTGGGTAACAGTAAAACCCTGTCTCAAAAACAAAATAAAACAAAATCCAGAAGAAGCAGGCATGTTGTGAAATCCCAGCTTAAGCATGTGTCTGACAGAACTCTCTCTGGACTTGACACTCATCCTGCCTGCTGAGGGGAAAGAAGTCTGAGCCCTAACCTGAGCCCCCTCCCCCCCACCTAATACCAAGAGGGCTGAGAAATTCCCGCAAATGCAAAGATGTTCTTAGTCAGTGGTTTGACTATATTTCACATGGGGTCCTCTCTGCTGCTTTCCTTAAGGGAACTGTGCCCAGAGAGGGTCAGGGTTTCATTTTGGGTCACATAGCAGATGAGAGCCGGGACCTGAGGTCCACAAGCCATTTCTGGGTCCTCCTGTTCTCCTTTCTCCTCCTTCCTGAAGGATCCAGAATTCATTTCATGAATATCCTCCTGGAGGATCCCTTGATACAGTTGGGACAACACCATCCTGCTGACTCCTAGAGGTACTTCCAGTCTGAGGATCTGTTATCTCCTATATTATTATCATTTATTTAGTTTTAAATTTTATTTTATTAAGAGAAAGGGTCTTTGTCATCCAGGTGCTGGTGTGATCACAGCTTCCTGCAGCCCAGAACTCCTAGCTCAAGAGATCCTCTTGCCTCGGCCTCTCCAATAGCTGGGATTACAGGTGTGCACTATTACATCTGGCTAATTTTACTATTTTTTTAGTAGAGACAGGATTTCACTCTTCCTCAGGCTGGTTTCGAACTCCTGAGCTCAAACAATCCTTCTGGCTCAGCCTCCCCAAATGCTGGAGCTATAGGTATAAGCCACTGTGTCTAGCCATAAATATCATTTTAATGTAGTCTTTAACAAAATTGAACTAGCAAACCATGATTTGTGTGCTGATCCCTTGTTTCTGTCAATAAAGTTTTATTGGAATCAGGGCAGAGGAACAGGGTCAGGCTCCTTATACTTCCTACATGGGTAGGAGGGAAGGGCAGAGTTGGCATCTGCTTAGCATCATACTATGCTAAGCACCCTGATGAGCACAATCTTGCTCTGAGATCCAGATATGGGGCCGCTTGCCCCAGCTCACCCTAAAAGGTGGCCTCCTGTGACATGCTCTGCTGCTTGTCATATTAGACCCTCTCCAGACCCTAAAGCTGTCCTCCCATTCAATAGGCATTGATTGAACAACATAGAAGCTGAGGCCATGCTCTTTCTGGGTACCTGGCATCACCTGGCATGTGGGGCACAGATGCCACCTGTGAACTTCAGATGACATTGGCCTTTCTGAGAAAACACCTCTGTTTTCATGGTAGGCAGAGTAGCAGCCCCCAGAGGTGCTGTGCCCTAATTCCCAGGACCTATGACTGTGTCATGCTATTTGGAAGGTGGCATTGGGGTTTTAATCAGTTGCCTTGAGATGGGAGGTCATCTGAGATGATCCAGGGGCTCAGTGTCACAAGAGGGGCCTCATGCAAGGTGGCAGAAGGGTCAGGGGAAGATGGTGTGCTGCTGTCGCTGAAGGGGCAGGAAGGGGCCCTAAGCCAAGGGATGCAGGAAACCTCTAGATGCCGGAAAAGGTGGGAGATGGGTCCACCCCTGGATCGTCCAGGAGAGACCTGCCCTGCAGATCCTGTTTAGACTTTTGAGCATCAGAACTGTTAAATAATAAATGTGAGTTCTTTTAAGCCATTAGGTTTGCAGTTATTTGCTATAGCTGTTATAGGAAACTTGGTTTTCATCCTGCATAACATAGGACTATTGCAGGATTATTATCGTCCAGTCAGTAGACAACAAACCAAGGCACAGAGAGGGGGAGTGACTTTCCCCAGACCACACAGCAACTGAAGTAGGTCGTGTCTGTGAGATGGGGGTCAGATGAGTGTGAGTGCACAGGCATGGGCTAGGGGGACTCCCCCACCCTGCCCTAGCTCCTTCTGGGATGGAAAATCAAAGTGGGCATGATCAGAACCCACCCAGACCCAGTCCCATCATGTGTTTTCAGGGAACCCTTAAAACACCCTTGTAAGGGGCCCCATCTTGGTGTTTCTGGCCACTAAAAAAATGGGCCTTGGCTGCCCAAGCCAAGGGGAGCCCCTCAGCTGGGGTCTCCCCTTTCATCTACCTGCTATACCCCTGAATGAGACAGGATTGAGGAAAATCTAGGATATTGCACCTGGTTCAAACGAGGGACTCGGGGGTCATTCGATAGGGAGTGGCAGCCTTTCTGGATGGAGAAACTAACACACACAAGACAATAGTTTTTCCTGCCTTGGCTGCAGGAGAAAAAGGAGAAATGAGACCCACAGGAGAATTGGCAACATTCCCCACTTCTTGGCTGTGGCTTTTGTGGATGACCCTGTCTCTGTCCTCCTTCTTCCAGAAAGAGCTTGGGATGGAATGAGTGGCCTCTCTGTGCCTCAATTTCCCCATCTGCTGTGTGGGGGTTGATGTGAAGATAAAGCACTTTGTTAGTATTACTTCAGGATTCAAGGCTCCCTAACTTTCTTTTTTTTTTTTTTTTTTTTTTTTTTTTTAGAAGCCTCAAGCGACCCCCCCGGCCGGGCACCGCGGATGGCCGCGATGCACCCCTTCCCTCAACACCCCTCCTCCCCGCGGCGGTGGGG